ATCGGGAGGAAGTCGGGGGAGGGGGTATTTTCATAATATTCTCATTTTCCACAACATAATTTCCTCTATCAGCAATTTCGAATTCGGCACGCTTTGCAGCAGCTGAGCACAGAGCGAGTCTATGGAGCGAATGTACAGTGATATAACTGGCAGTCAAACTGCGTGCTTTCGCGCCATGGCTGGCGCTAAGCCAAAGACAGATGCGCACAGCCCTCATCATCGTTATATCACAAATGTTCAGTGTTTTTAACCACATAATATTTATTTTAGGTTTCAGACATTTAAAAAACAGTATATATATATATAATATATAATAGCAGTATATATATAATATATAATATAAATGGTGTCTATGGAAGCAGAAATAACAACCCATTCAAATATTTGACGACGGTTTTTATTCATATCAGAGAGACACAGTTTAAATGATTATAAAGTCAACTCTATTTTTCTGGGCCACTTACTTTCATGTATTTCGGGAGAAACTGATGAATTCCCGCACTATAATACATCCAACAGACAGAAATGTCTGATCTGCGGCCCAAACACGGCGCCCATCTCACGTTACAGATCAAGATTTTTTTCTTTTTTTTTTAAACGACAAAAACTCACTTACACATTTGAGAATCGAAATATAAGACAGTTCATCATGAAATGGTAAGCAAGTTACAAGTTAAGCAAATATTTTGAAATGAAAGCGCTGAATGTGCAATAGAGGGCTATTTTGGCGGTGGTGAATCACGTTCCAAGCATAACGCGTCACCATGGAAACGGGGGGCACGATGTTTAGCCGATGCAATCTAAACTATGATGCAATCTATGATATCGTCCATCGGCCCAACCCAACATGTTATTTAGCATGAAATGCGCAAATCGGTGGGCAGGGCTAAACCAGCCGTGTTGAAGTAGGCGTTTATCTTCTTCTGAGGGGGTGGTGTTATATCCTCTTTGACGTCATAGTTCCCCACTTTGAAAAACGAGTCGTTTGCTGAGCCTGGTGTCAATAAAAGCTTTTATTGGACTAACAAGGACGTTTTCAGTTCTGAAACTTACAGGATATTCTTATAATATGATGACCTCTTAGATATCAAAAGCTCAAGGAAACTTTAATTTCTCAATTCATCACCCCTTTAATTGCTGCCTTATTTTTTTTTTTAAGTACAATCAACTTGGATGTTTAAGTCATTTCAACTTCGTCATAATTTACTCGCACTCAAGTTGTTTCAAATCTGAATAAATTTCTTTCGACTGCTTCTTTCGATATTTTGAAGAATGTTGGTAACCAGACAGTTGATATTCCCCATTGACTTCCATGGTATTTTCTTCTCTACTATAGAAGTCAGTGGGATACATCAACTGTTGGGTTAACGACATTCTTCAAACACTCTCAGCAGAAGAAAGAAATTCATACAGGTTTGAAACAATTGAGGGTGAGTAAATGATGACATCATTTTCATTTTTAAGCGAACTATTCCTGTGAATTACAATAAACTAACTTAAAAAATTTGTTGAATCATAAAAAAGTTGAAAATTGCTTAAAATATTTTGATAAGTTAAAGCAATGTAAAAACATGTTGGTTTTACCTATTTATCATATTTTTTAGTGTACAAAGAGTACATTTCTACATTGGCCCACATCACACATTTCCAAATTCTGGAAACGGCCAGATCAAACACAGGCTTTTTATTTAACTGCAATATTTCAAGTGACAGTACAGTGACCTTGCATTTGATTCACTATGACTGTTGATAATGTTGCAGCCTAGGTCAAGACGTGGTGCTCAAACGCTTGACGTGCGAATTCGGTTTGGAGTTTCCCTGAGTTTCGTTTTGAGTCATTAACTCACCAACTACCGCTGTCTCATTCACTTTCAATACCCACTCTCCTAACCACAAAGATACTGTAAGAGTTCCGGTTCTCCAAACGAACTCTCTAAACCACAGGAATTTGTGTTGCTATTTGCGTACGCTGGCTTTAGATGTGTGAGATAATCAATACTACAACTAATCCTAAACCATATAACTCAAAACTGGCATCATGTGATTACTATAATACTGACTGTAAACTGTTTACTCATGGAGCATTGCTTAGTGACAGGCCACGAGTGCTTGTGATCCCACGTGTGCGTCTCATGACAGCACAGTGTGCGCAGTGCACTTCCCCTGGGTTTCTAAATGCAGCGAGCAGACAACGTACAACATGTGGGAGGCCATCGCCACAGATACATCAGCAACTCTGAGTCAGACGAGGTCACACAACCCCACATACAGTGAATAAGGAGACATGACAAGGTTGCCCTCCTCCATGATTTTCCACATTGCTCAAGATGGGACAAAAGAACACAATATATGCACTATTCTCTGCGCCTTCTCCCGCAATACCCTCTTGAACCAATGGAACATATGAGAACACAAATATAATCTGACCCCAGCAACTGTTTCAGTGTAATGACAGGCACTCAATGCTCTCAAGACTCTTTCTGGGCAATGTCCAATGCTGAATTAGCAGCCTCAACAACTGATATTCTGCTGACTCTGGAAAAACTAAGCCAAATTATCAGATTTGACCACAGCGGCCCCTCAAACATGGGTGGTGGCCTTTTTATATTCTCCAGGGTGTGAAATGAACACCCGCCACCAGTCAAATGCAGATGCTTTATTACACACTGGTGGATATTTCTGTGGCACATGCCTTGTAAAATGTCTCCAAGTGCTATTTTGTAAAAAAAAAAAAAATGCACACATTCGATTTTATCTTAGGGAGCAGATGAAAGACATGCTGTCACCTTGCATGCCTGATTTGCTGTTCGTCATGAAAGCTGCACGAGAGCTTTTCATATGAAGAGTTCAGATGCAAAAGCCTCTAAGTGCCATTTGAAATTTTCTTCTAGAATGATGATTTTTATCAAGCTTGTACATTTAAGTTCAGTGATTTCACTTAAATGGCAATGATAATTACCTATTAATTGTTATTTAAGTGAAATTACTGAACTTAAATATACAAGTTTGATAAAAATCATCATTAAAGAAGAAAATTTCAAATGGCATTTAGAGGTTTTTGCATCTGAACTCTTCATATATCAAATGTGAATTTTCTCCTTACATCTAAACACTCTGATAGGAACAATCTCAAGAGGTGTTTCAGGTAAAATACCATTTAGATCTATGGTGTGGTTGTTATAAATTGGAAAAGAAAGAAAGAAAAGAAAACACAAACAATCAAACTCTAATTTATAGCTCCTATAAGTATATCCAATTTTTACACATAGGACACACAAGAGGGCTTATATAAAACAAATCTCAACTGCAACTGCATGATTGTTTATATTGTCATTAAATTTAATCTATACTGTCATCCAGCTCTAAACTGCTAAATGTGGACAATTAGGTATTGGCATTATAAAGCTTTGCTTTAAGTAAATTGACTTGACTTGCTTCACTTATATATGATGTAAACGTAAAGCTCTCCACACTAACACTGTAATTTTAAGTACAAAGCTGCAACACAACACCAATGGGGTTAAAGTGAATTGCAAAAAACAGTGTGAATACTTAGACCCTAACCAATGTGGAACAGTGTGGATACATTTCTGGTCCACTTATAGAAGTTTAATATCCAATTTATAAGCTGCAAAAAGTTAATTTCCCACCATGGGTGTCCTTAAATGGTAACGTTACATAGCCTACCAAATGAAGTCCAACTTCATACTCATGTTTGACAAGCATTCCTCTAATAACAATGGATGGACTTCACTTTAATAGTTGTATCGCATTAGGTTCAGGACAGCTATTGTATCACCCAATGTGGAAATGAATCACATTATCCAGTGACTCATTTTTCCTTTGAGGGCGTTGCTTTTGAGCTAACCTGCCAGAATAGAGTGGACAAAATCATTCCTAAACAATGTGTTAATAAATATTTCCAATCATCACACATGGATATTCCATTTAATAAGTGTGTTTCATAAAGAATATTCGATCACAAACTTGTTAATGTCTTATTAAAGTCCTAGGGTTTGGTAGACATCAAGGTGGCTCACGCTGCTTCATGATTAAGTTATTTCAAACAGTAGGCTTTATCATCTATCACGGGTTTTTGCGCTGCGTAACGATAAAAAGCCTCAAAATATAGCAAGTAGGCCTTTTACTGAAGGTACAACGCGTTATTTTGCTTAAAAGTAATGTCCACCACACTGTGCGCGTTCACGCCGCCGTGCACTGAGAATCTGACATAACGTCACCCTATTCTTGAATCCTCGTGTTGATTAAAGAGCGCGAGAAAACGGAATCTTTCCGCGGGCTCAGCTGACTCGGTATCATCAGGTATCATCATAACAGTCTTTAGGTCGCTTGCCGTTACACCCAAAAGTGCTCGCCACACAAATATGCCCTTTGTCCCAGAATTCCTAAACGCCAACCACGTGTTATTTCCTTATGGCGTAATATTAATTCTTTTGAAACATGCCCGCTGTTAAAAGCGATAAAAAAGTTGGAATAGTATGGCCAAACTGCTTTAAAAATTACGAGACGTTGCTGTTTAGTTTGTCAAAGATGCACCGTCTACGATTTAGCCTACTTTATTCCCTTTAAAATGTACGAAGCAAGTAAACTTCAAATTTACACAACATTAAAGACAGCCAGTGAGTTAAGTATGTTTATAAATGTGATTGTTTATATAAAAGCAACAAAATAAAAATCCGAAAAAGCATTAGTAAGCTAAATTCCAAGTTGCAATCTTTAACACGTGTCCAAACCACACCACTATTTGTTTTTATAATCAAATATTTCACTATCATATAACTTATGTTCCATCTTTATAGTAACCTAAATTAATACTAACTCTTTATACAACTTTAAAAATTTAAGAGAAGAATTTATTAAGCCATGCATCGACAACATAAATACTACAGATAGGCTGAATTCTTGTCCGTCATCGTGAGAACATCAGCAATTTCGAGAGGAATTTCAAAACATCTCCCAGAAAAGCTCGCACACATTACCTTGTGAGCGCGGAATCTCTGTCGGGGATGCGGAAAATCTCTGAGAAGTGTCCTGGAATCAACAGGCTGAGCCTTCTCGCGTCCTGCAACCGAAGCGAAATGTTTCTCTGAACTAAATTAACTACAAAACAACAACAATGTATCAACATTCCACTCTGTGCTTCCGCAAGCACTGACGTCACCGATTCCTCGTGACCGCCCCCTCCATTCATGAAAATAACTTTATGCTGACGTCAGTCAGGCGGGAAACTAGTGGAGGCCAGAAATAGACGCAATTGAAAACTTTTGCAAAGTTTATTGTATTAATTGCTAGATATTAGCGTTTAAGGGTAAAATTGTGCATACATACAACGAGGAGTTATTTCAATGATCTTGAGTTTGACATTGACAAAAGCTCAAATTGGTGTATCAGCCTCCTAATATATATCTGGTAAGACGTGACTGTTATCAGAGCTCATACACACATTTTCTTCATTTTTGGTCTTTATGTAAACGTCTATAGTTTGTCATACATTTCTGAATTGCACATAATATCAGTAAAGCGTCTCGAAAGCGCCCTCTGTCTGTCACAAAACACTGTTTTAAAGCAGTCGCAAACACCATCTGTGTGGTCACACCCCATTTACTGTACTTCCACATTGAACTGCTGTGTCAAGTGACACTATGAGCTATATAAAAAATTAAAAATATAAGAAAATACACACACATTTGAGTATTTTTTTTTTTTTTTACACAATTATGTGGACTTTTGTTTATAGTCGTTACCAGTGACTCAACACAAATCCTTTCACTCTGAAAGCATATGGGTTTAATATCATTGTTTGGTCTTCTGGCTTCTTGATTCTTTCATGCCCAGAATTCTGGGTGGTGTTTAACGTTTCCCTGTCAATCTGTTTTACTGTAGCCTATATCAAATGAAAACATGCTTTTTGCTTGCATGACATCTTATATATGCTGAGAGACTCACTGAGCAACCGAGTGTCTGCATGCACAGTGTACTAAAATCACTATTCTCACAACACATTTTTCTAAACATCTTTACGAAATCTTTAAAATATAGTAAACTATCTTAAATATTTACCTAAATTAATAGTCACTTAAGGTTTGATGAAAAAATATTCTCTGTCCACAGGTGAAAAATATCACGTTACAAAAAAACAAAACAAAAAAAAACACACACCTGATCTTTGGGCCATTCTTATACACACCTCAAAAGAGAAAAAGACAAATGCAGCTCAAATAACATAAAAGAAGTGATGACCTGCCATTCTGCTTTCCTGTGGGACTTGTGGGAAACCACCATGTGGAAGTGAAAAAAGAGGAGATTTTAAGTGGAAACACATCCTCATGTTCTTAAGATCATGCCGGCTTAAACCAAACATTAAACAGACCTGCTTGAATCTTCCAAAACTAAAAATATGTTTAAAAGTTTATTATACCATAAAGTGCCCTGATCATTTATTTAATTATAAATAGCCTACCTAAAATACTGCTGAAAAAACAGTTATTTTTCCAGATTTCCCCTGTGAAATTAGATTTTTATTTGGAATAGTGAGTGTGCCATTGACATCATGAAAATATGTTTAATATGAAAAACACTTGGGGTAGTTTTGCGTGGCTAATGGTTTTGTATAGGCAAAACATTAATTAGGGAACATGCTGAAATCCTCAGCAAATCATTTTTGAGTTGTCTGGGTTTATGGAAACACATGGAATATTTTGTTCCACTCGCTACATTTTAGAAGTGGCATGCATATTTAATATCTGGAAGGCTTTCAGAATTAAGCAGCCATTCATTGTTCCTGTCAGAGAAGTATGTTTTCAACAATACTTAAAGCAACTGTAACCAGGCACATATGCCTATTTTCTCCGATTACAAGCACATGTTGTTTTTGCTGAGTACCTTACAGTGTGTGTTCTCTGTGGTGTTCTTTTCTGGGTGAAAGTTCTGTTTTCTTTTGTCTGGCAGGCACAGTAATGTCTGTTCCCATGTCTGACATCATTTTCAAAGTGAAGATTCTTGGAAACATTGTTCCTTGTATAGTCCCTAAACGCTCCATAGCAACAGTGCCACCCAGAGACATCTAATCACCCTGAGTATATGTGCTTCCCTTTCGAGAACGTCCACTTCGTCTTTAGTAGCTACACACAGTGGGGAAACTCTTTTTCTGAAGCCATTATTTTAAAACGCACAGAGCGTCAAGCTCGCTTTTGGCTGTGCTGCGGCAACTGCACAAACCCATGGCGAGGCGGCTGCGACGCGCAAACTAATCGGGTCACTTCGCGCCCAGGGTGCGTCAGAATGAGCGTGGCTTATGCCTATATAAGCAGACCATTTCGCCATAGAAGCAAATTTAATCTAGCCTGACTTCGTCATACTCATATTCATCTAGTCAGATTAATTTTTTTCCCCCCACAGGTGACTTCCCGAGACAGGCGCATATAGTAGTGGCAGGTCGAGAGACAGGCGCATATAGCGGTGGCAGGTCGGGTGACAGGCGAATATAGCGGTGGCAGGTCGTCTGACAGGCGAATATAGCGGTGGCAGGTCGGGTAACAGGCGAATATAGCGGTGGCAGGTCGGGTGACAAGCGAATATAGTGGTGGCAGGTCGAGAGACAGGCGAATATAGCGGTGGCAGGTCGAGAGACAGGCTCATATAGCGGTGGCAGGTCGGGTGACAGGCGAATATAGCGGTGGCAGGTCGAGAGACAGGCGCATATAGCGGTGGCAGGTCGGGTGACAGGCGAATATAGCGGTGGCAGGTCGGGTGACAGGCGAATATAGCGGTGGCAGGTCGGGTGACAGGCGAATATAGCGGTGGCAGGTCGGGTAACAGGCGAATATAGCGGTGGCAGGTCGGGTGACAAGCGAATATAGTGGTGGCAGGTCGAGAGACAGGCGAATATAGCGGTGGCAGGTCGAGAGACAGGCTCATATAGCGGTGGCAGGTCGGGTGACAGGCGAATATAGCGGTGGCAGGTCGGGTGACAGGCGAATATAGCGGTGGCAGGTCGAGAGACAGGCGCATATAGCGGTGGCAGGTCGGGTGACAGGCGAATATAGCGGTGGCAGGTCGGGTGACAGGCGAATATAGCGGTGGCAGGTCGGGTGACAGGCGAATATAGCGGTGGCAGGTCGGGTAACAGGCGAATATAGCGGTGGCAGGTCGGGTGACAAGCGAATATAGTGGTGGCAGGTCGAGAGACAGGCGAATATAGCGGTGGCAGGTCGAGAGACAGGCTCATATAGCGGTGGCAGGTCGGGTGACAGGCGAATATAGCGGTGGCAGGTCGGGTGACAGGCGAATATAGTGGTGGCAGGTCGGGTAACAGGCGAATATAGCGGTGGCAGGTCGGGTAACAGGCGAATATAGCGGTGGCAGGTCGGGTAACAGGCGAATATAGCGGTGGCAGGTCGGGTGACAGGCGAATATAGTGGTGGCAGGTCGGGTAACAGGCGAATATAGCGGTGGCAGGTCGGGTAACAGGCGAATATAGTGGTGGCAGGTCGGGTAACAGGCGAATATAGCGGTGGCAGGTCGGGTGACAGGCGAATATAGCGGTGGCAGGTCGGGTAACAGGCGAATATAGCGGTGGCAGGTCGGGTGACAAGCGAATATAGTGGTGGCAGGTCGAGAGACAGGCGAATATAGCGGTGGCAGGTCGAGAGACAGGCTCATATAGCGGTGGCAGGTCGGGTGACAGGCGAATATAGCGGTGGCAGGTCGGGTGACAGGCGAATATAGCGGTGGCAGGTCGAGAGACAGGCGCATATAGCGGTGGCAGGTCGGGTGACAGGCGAATATAGCGGTGGCAGGTCGGGTGACAGGCGAATATAGCGGTGGCAGGTCGGGTGACAGGCGAATATAGCGGTGGCAGGTCGGGTAACAGGCGAATATAGCGGTGGCAGGTCGGGTGACAAGCGAATATAGTGGTGGCAGGTCGAGAGACAGGCGAATATAGCGGTGGCAGGTCGAGAGACAGGCTCATATAGCGGTGGCAGGTCGGGTGACAGGCGAATATAGCGGTGGCAGGTCGGGTGACAGGCGAATATAGCGGTGGCAGGTCGGGTAACAGGCGAATATAGCGGTGGCAGGTCGGGTGACAAGCGAATATAGTGGTGGCAGGTCGAGAGACAGGCGAATATAGCGGTGGCAGGTCGAGAGACAGGCTCATATAGCGGTGGCAGGTCGGGTGACAGGCGAATATAGCGGTGGCAGGTCGAGAGACAGGCGCATATAGCGGTGGCAGGTCGGGTGACAGGCGAATATAGCGGTGGCAGGTCGGGTGACAGGCGAATATAGCGGTGGCAGGTCGAGTGACAGGCGAATATAGTGGTGGCAGGTCGGGTGACAGGCGAATATAGCGGTGGCAGGTCGGGTGACAGGCGAATATAGCGGTGGCAGGTCGAGTGACAGGCGAATATAGCGGTGGCAGGTCGGGTGACAGGCGAATATAGCGGTGGCAGGTCGAGTGACAGGCGAATATAGTGGTGGCAGGTCGAGAGACAGGCGCATATAGCGGTGGCAGGTCGGGTGACAGGCGCATATAGCGGTGGCAGGTCGGGTGACAGGCGCAAATAGCGGTGGCAGGTCGAGAGACAGGCGCAAATAGCGGTGGCAGGTCGGGTGACAGGCGCATATAGCGGTGGCAGGTCGGGTGACAGGCGAATATAGCGGTGGCAGGTCGAGAGACAGGCGCAAATAGCGGTGGCAGGTCGGGTGACAGGCGAATATAGCGGTGGCAGGTCGAGAGACAGGCGCATATAGCGGTGGCAGGTCGGGTGACAGGCGCATATAGCGGTGGCAGGTCGGGTGACAGGCGCATATAGCGGTGGCAGGTCGGGTGACAGGCGCATATAGCGGTGGCAGGTCGGGTAATAAAATTTTATAATAAGTAAATAATAAATTTTATAATAAATAAAATTTTATTTTATTTATTGTTTGTTTTTGAAATAGTTTTTTTTTTGTTTCTTCAAAATTAAGCTCATAAAAGCTTAAGTTTATCATGTTTCATTTTTTTTATTTATTTATTTATAGAAAAGTCCTAAATGTCTTTTTAATTTCTTCAAAGCTCATTTTTTTAAGCTCAACTTATCATAGTGCTTTTTTGCTGGTCTTTCTTCAGTAACTGTAGATAAGAGGCAATCCAACACAGT